GTACATCAATGTTACCTAACAAATATATCAATGTCACCCTAACAAATACATCAATATTGCCCTAACAAGTACATCAATGTTACCCTAACAAGTACATCAATGTTACCCTAACAAATACATCAATGTAACCCTAACAAATGCATCAATGTAACCCTATCAAGTACATCAATGTTACCCTAACAAATGCATCAATGTTACCCTAACATACATTAATGTGACCCTAACAAATACATCAATGTTACCTAACAAATACACCAATGTTACCCTAACAAATGCATCAATGTTACCCTAACAAATACGTTCTTCAACACTTATCTATCTAAATGTTTATGTATGTAATTTTCTATGTAACGCATATGCAAATGTAAGTGTTTCTGAATGAGCACCGTGTTCATTTCTTTGTTCGCAAACGTTTATATGTTCAACTCCACACTGATATACACAATGCTCGCCTTATGGTTAAGCGTCCGCACGTCACGCTGAAGATCCGGGTTCGATTCCCCACATGGGCACGATGTGTGAAGCCCATTTCTGGTTTATATGTTAAACCAGACATTGACATACATACTGCTAACGTTTATATATTTAACCTCACATTGCTATACACTTTGCAAACATTTATATGTTTAACAAAACTTTGATGTACACACGGCTAACGTTTATATGTTAAACCCCACATTGATATACACATGCTAACGTTTATATGTTAAACCCCTCATTGATATACACACTGCTAACGTTTATATGGTTGATATACACACTGCTAACGTTTATATGGTTACCCCCTATTGATATACGGACCGCCTCCGTGGTGTAGTGGTTAGAGCGTCCGCCCGGAGAGCGGAAGGTCGTGGGTTCGATCCCCGACCGCGTCATACCAAAAGACGTTAAAATATGGTACTTGTTGGTCCATGCCTGGCGCTCGGCATTAATGGGTACAACAAGGACTGGTCGGCTCGGAGTCAGAATAATGTGTCTGAGTGGGGTATTCATGCTTCACTGCGGCATGGTATCTCAGTGGGCTAGCACTATAAAACCAGCTTCAGTCTGGGCTGGTACAAGCAGTCGCACATACACATACACTCGCATGCACGTCGTCATATGAGCGAAATATTCTCAAGTACGACGTTAAACCCAATTTCACCTCACCTCACCTATTGATATACACACTGCTAACGTTTATATGTTAAACCCCACATTGATATACACACTGATAACGTTTATATGTTCAACCTCACATTGACATACACATTGCAAACGTTTATATGTTAAACCCCACATTGATATACACACTGCTAACGTTTATATGTTCAACTCCACATTGATATACACACTGATAACGTTAATATGTTAAACCCCACATTGATATACACACTGATAACGTTTATATGTTAAACCCCACATTGATATACACACTGATAACGTTTATATGTTCAACTCCACATTGATATACACATTGCAAACGTTTATATGTTAAACCCCACATTGATATACACACTGCTAACGTTAATATGTTAAACCCCACATTGATATACACACTGATAACGTTTATATGTTACACCCCACATTGATATACACACTGATAACGTTTATATGTTCAACTCCACATTGATATACACACTGCAAACGTTTATATGTTAAACCCCACATTGACATACACATTGCATTTATATGTTAAACCCCACACACATGCAAACGTTTATATGTTAAACCCCACATTGATATACACACTGCTAACGTTTATATGTTCAACTCCACATTGATATACACACTGATAACGTTTATATGTTAAACCCCACATTGATATACACACTGATAACGTTTATATGTTCAACTCCACATTGATATACACACTGATAACGTTTATATGTTAAACCCCACATTGATATACACACTGCAAACGTTTATATGTTAAACCCCACATTGATATACACACTGATAACGTTTATATGTTAAACCCCACATTGATATACACACTGATAACGTTTATATGTTCAACTCCACATTGATATACACACTGATAACGTTAATATGTTCAACTCCACATTGATATACACACTGATAACGTTTATATGTTAAACCCCACATTGATATACACACTGCTAACGTTAATATGTTCAACTCCACATTGATATACACACTGATAACGTTTATATGTTAAACCCCACATTGATATACACATTGAACGTTATATGTTCACTCTACATTGATATACGTTTATATGTTAAACCCCACATTGATATACACACTGATAACGTTTATATGTTAAACCCCACATTGATATACACACTGATAACGTTTATATGTTAAACCCCACATTGATATACACACTGATAACGTTTATATGTTAAACCCTCACATTGACATACACATTGCTAACGTTAATATGTTCAACTCCACATTGATATACACACTGATAACGTTTATATGTTAAACCCCACATTGATATACACACTGCTAACGTTAATATGTTCAACTCCACATTGATATACACACTGATAACGTTTATATGTTAAACCCCTCATTGATATACACACTGATAACGTTTATATGTTAAACCCCACATTGATATACACACTGATAACGTTTATATGTTAAACCCCTCATTGATATACACACTGATAACGTTTATATGTTAAACCCCTCATTGATATACACACTGATAACGTTTATATGTTAAACCCCACATTGATATACACACTGATAACGTTTATATGTTAAACCCCTCATTGATATACACACTGCTAACGTTAATATGTTCAACTCCACATTGATATACACACTGATAACGTTTATATGTTCAACTCCACATTGATATACACACTGATAACGTTTAAATGTTAAACCCCACATTGACATACACATTGCAAACGTTTAATAAGGTACTTGTTTGGTAAACATCTTGGTAAATGCCTCTGGAATTTCATCAGAAACCATCTAAACGTTCATACCTGTTGTATTAATTGCTTTTAGAAGATCATTACCTGTCACAAAACTTGAACACGGGATTTCTTAATTAGAATCTTTCTTTAGAAAAAGACGGTCTTATGTAAATTTGGCAGTCTCAAAATTTTAACTGTTCACACTTTGCAGAAAATGGATCAACTCGTCATGACCTGGTCTTTTCAAGTTTATAACTCTTGCGTTCCACAACATACAGAATCCTGAAATCCGTGCTCTCTTTAGAGCTGCCTTATTTTAGTAAGCTACGTACCGATGATTTTCACTTTAAACCAAAAAGTAAAACAAATAAAGTGAAATTAAGACTGCGAATCCTCATAATTTTATCTTGCCAATTGAACATTTAAATCTCAGAATTTTATTCAACTAAGGATAAAAGGTGTTTAACAAACGATCGTAGTTTCATATCGCTATTATTGGTTTGTATTACAAGGGGATATGCATATCAAATGAAACACCGAGAACGACTCGGGTTGTTCTAAGTTAACGCTCTTCACGTACTGCACGTGCATTTGTTTCACTGTTCCAACTACTGGGCGTACCCCATTATAATACAAACCAGTAACAGCGATTTGAATCTATGATCGTTTGTTAAACAACTTTTATCCTAAGTTGAATGAAATTCTGAGATTTAAATGTTCAATTGGCAAGGCAAAATTATGAGGATTCGCAGTCTTAATTTTACTTTATTTGTTTTACTTTTTGGTTTAAAGTGAAATTAAGCGGTCCGTTTTCACTGCAAACAGACTATAGATGTGAAGCAAGCAGACTAAAACACCGTTCTCAAGACGATTTGGACCAGTTACTCCCGATGATGCCTGAAACATGGCCATAATGGTGTGTCATCAAATATATCTACCCTGTATGTGTCATCAAATATATCTACCCTGTATGTGTCATCAAATATATCTACCCTGTATGTGTCATCAAATATATCTACCCTGTATGTGTCATCAAATATATCTACCCTGTATGTGTCATCAAATATATCTACCCTGTATGTGTCATCAAATATATCTACCCTGTATATCAAATATATCTACCCTGTATGTGTCATCAAATATATCTACCCTGTATGTGTCATCAAATATATCTACCCTGTATGTGTCATCAAATATATCTACCCTGTATGTGTCATCAAATATATCTACCCTGTATGTGTCATCAAATATATCTACCCTGTATGTGTCATCAAATATATCTACCCTGTATGTGTCATCAAATATATCTACCCTGTATGTGTCATCAAATATATCTACCCTGTATGTGTCATCAAATATATATATCTACCCTGTATGTGTCATCAAATATATCTACCCTGTATGTGTCATCAAATATATCTACCCTGTATGTGTCATCAAATATATCTACCCTGTATGTGTCATCAAATATATCTACCCTGTATGTGTCATCAAATATATCTACCCTGTATGTGTCATCAAATATATCTACCCTGTATGTGTCATCAAATATATCTACCCTGTATGTGTCATCAAATATATCTACCCTGTATGTGTCATCAAATATATCTACCCTGTATGTGTCATCAAATATATCTACCCTGTATGTGCCATCAAATATATCTACCCTGTATGTGTCATCAAATATATCTACCCTGTATGTGTCATCAAATATATCTACCCTGTATGTGTCAAGATGGTGGATGGTGGTTTGATGCAGTGCTCCCTTTTCATGAGTGAGTGAAAACTCTAGAGACCAATTGTTGGCTTCCAACATGGATCTTAAAACATGACAATATTGAAATATAACAAGTTTTATTTAAACTATTCAGCAACATAATGAACTGGAACAAAGAGACAGATAGGGTATTACGTACATACTGTCTTTATCTTGCGTATCATTACCAACTGTGTGTTGGTATTGCAATGTGCACAAACATCACCACACATGTTTCTGGTAGTATATAGCACTTTCACGTGGTTGACACAGTCTGTTTCGATACTATCCCACATAACGATAGGTGTAGTAGTTCATGAGACACGATGTAGAGACCAGGACCTCTGTAACAGCCCACAACATCAAGGCGATCCTGACGCCATTCTCAGATGGGGATAGGCGGAGTATTGTCCACAAGAGAAATGTTGTTGTAGAGCTTGGTAGGTTGCATGAGGGTGACTGTTTCCTGCAGTGGGTGCAGGGGCCGGGGGCATATATGCCCCACCCAGGGGCGAGCTTCCTGGGGGAGAACTGGAGAGTGGGGAGCCCGTCAGGGAGCTGTTCATTGTGTTGGCGTTGTAGTAGCCAGTTGTCGGAGAGTAGCCTGTAGGGGACCCCACAGTCCAGCTACTGAGATCAGGTTTGCTTCCTAAACTGTATTGCTGCGGCTGGGTCAGTCCCTGGGGTAAGGACCCGAGACTTAGGGGGTTAAGAGCAGGGTAGGGGGACGGGCCTCCGTAGAGACTAAAATGGCCATAAGAACTCACATGGTGAACGGTGGCGTCGTCTCGGCGCTGTCTGTGTGCCAGCTTGAAACGTTTAGCACGACGAAGGAAACTCCCGTTACCGAACATGTCCCCACAAGATGGATGCAGAGCCCAATGGTTACCCTTGCCTGGCCGTCCCGGGGGTCGGGGCACCTTGACGAAACAGTCATTGAGGGAGAGGTTGTGTCTGATGGAGTTCTGCCATCTCTGCTGGTTTTCTTTGTAATAAGGAAACCTCTTCATGATGAAGCTGTATATATCATTGAGGGTCATCATACCAGTAGACGAACTCTCGATAGCCATGGTAATCAATGCAATATAAGAATATGGAGGCTTCACATTTTCGGCAAAGCGTCGATTTTGTTGCGACAGAGTTGATGTACCTGAATATTCATCTGAACCCTCGTCTTCGTCGTTGTCGGAACATAATGACGGCGATGGCGATGACTGGTTGCTGCGGTCGTTGTCTGAAGGCCCTTGATGGTGCAGATTGTCGCGTGTGTCGTCTGTTCCAGGAGATACTTCTGATTTTACATCTGCTATCCCTGTCGTCATGCCAGGCATCGGAGGAAGAGACAGGGAAGGTGTGTGTGTGGACATAATGTACGCTCCTGACATGGGGGGCCCCTGCTGCATTGCATGCGATAACGACATCATGCAGGAAGACTTGTCTTCTGCTCCGCCTCCATATTGGAACAGATTTGGGCCTTGATTCAGCAACATGTTTCACAGATCAAATCTAACAGATTTGTGGGATTTCACTTTCCAAACTTGAAGTGTTTGTCAAATCTACTCACGGCATGGTTTATATCCCCCGTGGAGATAATCCACAAAATACACAACTTCCGTGCCCCCTGTTCATAGATTAAGCCGCTATTGTTCTATAATCTGCTCCCCACTAAATCCGACCAATCGCAAACCAGTTCGGTCTAAATCTTGTTCCTCTGTTCTGATTGGCGAGTTACCATATTGATTCCACACCCCTTACGGGTGCTATACTGGGACTCAGTATTATTACACGTAGTAAACACGTCCTGCAAATAGCAGCTTAATGATATTGGTAACGATTCAATACACCAGCTATAAATGTTTTGTTAAGACCATTGCTATTTTCACAATATCTCCTTTAAACAGTTCTTTTTTCTGCATTGATTGACAAATATTGAAAGTTGGTGGCATAATGACATATATGTGATATCAAGTACGCCGAAAATAGTCATATGGTGTTAGAGCGATTTGTTTTATTAAAAATCAACATGTCCGACCTTCAATTTATTTGTCGCATGACTCGTTGACGCATGTATCAAACTATCTAGACATCTATATATATTAAATAAAATTTCACTTGATCTGAAAAAGTGATAATTTAAATGCACATTGGTCCGTTGGGTTTAAACCATATATTTATGTCAGAGAAAATGCCAGATAAGTCATCTGATGTCAGCGTTCATGTTTGAAACTGACTCTTAAACAGCTAGACACTCGAACCCGGAAATCCTTTCTCGGGGAATATTTTTATAAAATTTTAATTGATTAAACACCCCGATATCCAGACTTTACCTTGTAGATTAGACTTAGATTAGAGCAGCCTATAATCTACCTTGTCGGTGACCGTATTGCATCATCACTTTCGACAATGCCTCCGTCAGCCATGACATGAGTTTTGTCAGTAGTGAATCATCACAGACACCTAATTACACACTTCGTATAATGGAGCTTCCCACTTCTTTAGCCTACAACATATTGCACGGTCACGTCCCCACCCTGGGGCTTACTGTCTGTGACAAACCCCTCTCCCTTGGGGTAAGGGGAAATGAGACCATTCATGATTTCTTGTCAGTTTCAGTAAACTTGTGTATGTAGAGAGTGATTGTCATTGTCAATATTGACCGGCAGCATTCTGACATGTGTATGTGTGGTGCCCCTGGTGAAATATATTTCCACAGTGAAATCGTCAATGAGGCACATATTTACATAGCTGCTAAATTGATATAAACACGTCATGGTCAAGCGATTGTCGCAGGTGTCCCCATCGACCTCAATGTGTTCTTGCACCCAACAAAAACTAGTTATTAGATACTAATCAGTGTTACAGATGATCATGTAGAAAGTTCAAGGAAAACAACATCTATATCAGTGTGATAATTTGTTCATTGTTTCCTAATTAAACAGAATACAGTGCGGTAACTTCAGAAAGGAATTATTTCTAGTATATATACGTACAACTACCTAATCTAATTTGTACAAGAGATTTGTATCTTGTTGAGAGAGACTTACTCTTTCCGCACACAAGTATTTATGTCTATGTTTATATTCAACCTTTGTCGGAAGTAATTTACAAATTGGATTAAAATGAAATAACTCGTTCCCCTTTCATTAAACGCGGGTGACGCGATCTATATAATCGCTGTGGCGTCAGTGGAGCGTGTTCTCTGTGTGGTAGGTGTAAACCTCTTGTTTCTATGCTAACTTCAAAGAGATTCAGTTTCTTGTTTTCTGCACACAATGTTTGGAAACATTTTTCATGTTTCCATAAGGAACCACAACAATAAAACATACATTGACGGTATTAGATTTTGTGAAAAGTCAAACGTTTTCTACTTTACGGTTTTGTCAAACGTACTTTTTTCCCAAAAGGTCTTTGCATAAGAAAGAACCCTTCCAATGCTTAATACCTCTAGAACATGTAAACGTGACACCATTGTCAATTAACCTCACTTTGCGGTACTGATTACTCCGGCGATACTCAAACTGTATGGCCGCCATTTTGTATTGCGTGTTTCAGGCAGGTAATGACTGCACGTGGGCGTTCTTGTTGTAACAATATATTAACACCCCCTCTTGCATTATCACATCGATATAGACATCATGTGACACGTTATTGATTTATCAACGCCAAGTGACAGGGCATATTTCTGTAGGTAATGTAATTGTTGAAGTGTATTCATCAGCATTGATCACCAGTTGCACATAACTGTTGGTTAAGTGGTTCCTTTAGTAAACGTTTTAGTAGGAAGGAAGCACTTATTGATATATACGGTATACACTGCAGTGCTGTTATCTAACTGTGTTTTGTTGATACCTGGGCAATTATCAATATTTTAAGCACTTATGACTGTATCCAGACACATGATCATTAATCAAGCACCATTTGAATCCAGTGGCACGTTTTGCAAGTTTGGCACCAACTGCAGGTAATCATACCCTAACACAAAGGAATGCATATGTTCACAAGAGGTATGAGTCACATGTTCACGTGCTGGGAAGGCGCCAAGCATATTTGGGTATAACATTCATAATTGCAGTATGGGCACTGTTTTCTGATCTCAATCAAAAACACAACTGTACAAAAAAACCTTTGTTGATATGACAAGACGGAGACTTTCAGGAATGCCCTGACGCAACATTGGCCCTAACTTGAACATTAATCACACGGTTATTAGTTGACTAGTGAGGACGCTCGTGGCTACCGATGATCGTCCAAGAGATGGAAGACCCAGGACGATCACTGATCGTTATGACTGATTCCTAACCAAAAGAACTGCCAAAGAACTGCGCGAACTGAGAGCGGGAGTGGGAGTGCCATTAGAAAGAGGTTGAGGGCAGGTCATATATCCCTTCCACAGGTATAGGCAGGAACGTCTAGTGTTGTGCAGACACCTGCAGAACCTCAAATTGAGGATATGGCGTATGGTTTATTGGGCTGATGAATCTTCTACACGTTACCGACGGCCGTTGTCGCGTATGGAGAAGTCGTAACAAGGCATATCACCAGGAGCAAATGATGGCTCAGCGATGGTGTGGGGTTGCGTTTCGTATGACTTCAAGATGGATGTCATTACAGTACCTGGTACAACAATGGTCAGCGGTTTTAACAGGGAGTACTGGATACCACTACCGTGTCACATTTTGACACACTTGCCAGTCTTCCGGTGTTCATGGATGTCTTTGCTAGATCTTGTCGTTCGTCATCGCCCGTGTGCAGAACAACGCCATGGAACCATTACCATGGCCTGGAAGGAGCCCCGACGTGAACCCCATTGAGTGAGTGAGTTTAGTTTTACGCCGCTTTTAGCAATATTTCAGCAATATCACGACGGGGGGACATAAAAAATGGGCTTCACACATTATACCCATGTGGGGAATCCAACCCGGGTCTTCGGCGTGACGAGGGAACGCTTTAACCACTAGACTAGCCCACCGCCCCCGAACCCTATTGAACATCTTTAAGACTATCTTGGAAACCAAGTTCAAGTTAGAGGTTGTTCTGTTCAAAATCTACAGGAATTTACGCAGGCACTCAATGCGAATGTCAGAGGATTCCTTGATTGTCAGTGTGAGGAGGAGACTGCTAGGTGTTGTCCGTGATAGGGGTGATGTGGTCGCCAGTGGTGGTTCATTCAAGCTGTTACTGTATCTATTTGAGAACTGTGTGACAATCAGATTGGTTGCGTAGTCATTGTTACTACACTTTCCGAAATAGCTGATATTCACGTTTTTGTGTATTTCTGTCAGATTGCAAGTAAATTGTTATCAAATCTTAATTTCAGTTTTGTATAGTAACTTTTATAATGTGAGTAAAATGTGTTACTGTTGCCATTTTATTACGCGGAGTTGGTTTTCGAGGCATACACAACATGTAGTGTTTTTGTACTATTATGTACAAGAAGGTGGGTGGGATCTGTACATTAATGTATCGTACAGTTATCCAGTAATTACTACATATCCAATTTTATCTACATATGTGGCAATGAAAGCTGAACTAGTATATCATGAACGTAATCAAATCAACAACCACCGCAGTTTGCCACCACCACCAGGGCCCAGCCTGATTGTGCCAGGAAGACCCGAATCCCCTTTTCCCCATTCGCTGCCTCTATAGGAAGACGAGTGTACAAATAGTACTGAGGTGGTTGTGTAGAAAAGAGGAGATACAAATTTTGTAAATGTAGTTTATTATAAGTATTAACACGTCTCGTACATACAGGCGTTTATGTATACAGAATCATCCATATGAGAATATTGCCGTATACTATCTTTGGCAATGATACGGTTATTACACGGTTCAGACAGACAACTCTGAGTGATGATACGTAGCACTTATGCGTCAATACAAGCTAAACGCTAGGGTTGTTTTTCATTCGAAAGTGGAAACATCGTATTGTTTTCATATGAAAACGACGAATTCGTAGCACTAGCAAGAGATTGATGCAAATATGAATACAGACTGTGATAGTTTTCACTTCGACTTGTAGCGGGTGGCTGTGACATATAGGTCCCACCCAGGGTCGAGTTTCCCGGGGGAGAGCTGGAGAAAGGGGAGCCGGTCAGGGAGCTGTTGATGCTGCTGGGGTTGTAGTAGCCGGCTGATGGAGAGTAGACTGTAGGGGATCCCATGGTCCAAGGACTGGAATCAGCCTTGCTCGATGTGGCGTATGGGTGTGGCTGCCCCAGGCACCGGGGAAAGGGGGCAAGACTCAGGGGGTTGAAACCAAGATAGGGGGACTGACCTCCATATACACCTGAAAGACCATAAGAAGTAAGACGTTGGACAGTGGCTTCATCTTGTCGCTGTTTGTGTCCTGACTTGAAACGTTTAGCACGACGAAGGAAACTACCGTTACCGAACATGTCCCCGCACGATGGATGCAGAGCCCACAGGTTACCCTTGCCTGGTTTCCCTGGAGGTCGGGGCACCTTGACGAAACAATCATTGAGGGAGAGGTTGTGTCTGATGGAGTTCTGCCATCTCCGTTGGTTGTCTTGGTAGTAGGGAAATCTCTTGATGATGTAGTTGTAGATGTCGTTGAGAGTCATCATGCCTGTAGTGGAACTCTCGACGGCCATGGTGATGAGAGCCACATAGGAATAGGGAGGCTTCTTGTTGGAAAACTGTCGATTTTGTTGGGTGGAAGTTGATGTGGAGGGGTCCTCGTCGTCAATATCTGAAGTTAGTGAAGAAGTTGGCGACGGGGGGATGCTGTCATGTGTCGGAGACTCTTCATTATGACGAGGGATGGTGCTTGCTTCAGAGTCAAAATGGCGTTGGTCATCGGGTACGAATATGTCATGCGCTTCCTTGGGAACTGCGGACGTCCGGTGAGTGAGTGGAGCGACCTGTTGTGTAGACATGGGAAATGTCTGCAGTTGCGTCCTGCTGGGAAAACAACCCTCGCTAACTCTGAACGTGGATGGGTTATACATGACTCTAGACACAACACACACCGGTGTAGAACCGAAAATGTTCTTCCTTCAACCATGAGGTTTATATTGCTTGTCTAGATTATCCCCTTGTCACACACTTTACACAGCTCCTTTGTTTCTTCATTAGACATCCATTGTGTCTCTAATTGTAGGTAGACTAGGAGATTACTATGTATCAGCTAAACCGAGCTGATTGGTTGCAACGTTAACCACACCCTATTCAAATACGTAATGCATAAAATGAACATATATCACTTTCAATAGGTTTGTTTAAAAAACAGAAATCGTCAATCATATCGGAACACTTACTGACGTTTTGGAGAGGTTGTCGCGGGTCTTATTGACCACATCGGTACCACATCATCTCGGTTTTGCAATATTGATGACCATAAACACAACATTATACATCAGTCATTATTCATCACAATATATACCAGAATCTATTTGATAAGGTCCATGCCATGAGTGATATTCAGCTACATATTGATATTCAGGCAAGTTGAGACATCAGACGTTTCTTGGAGACGGAAGCCATCTTTATGTGTTTTCAGCACTCATTATTAACAAGAACAAGAGTCACGTGCATATACGTGTTTGCGTCAATTCACAAGGGGCGTGTTTATTGATTATTGATGCTGGATTCCAAACCAGTAAATAAATATTGATAAAACTGACGATGAAAGTCAAACAGCTGCAGACATCACCAGTATTGAAGTGACTCAAGTGTAAAAGCCAGGTTGTGTGTTATGTCAGACTCTGTTTTCATTTTTCATTAACGACTTACCGAATGAAACAATCTTGTAAAGGAAAACAAGTAAATAAACATTTGTCTATTATTCATAACGAGTGTGTACAAAGGTGTCGTTCAATCCGTAGATCATGTTCACGGAACTTGTTTATTGGTAGTACCTTCACGATCAGTGCATATTACTAGCTATCTCTATGTGGAAAGGCTTCCTGAAACAGGTATAAGGTCATCATGATGTATCCGTTGAGGTAACTCCCTTAGCATGTCCACACACTCCTAATTACACGCTCAGCTGGTGACATTCACACGTCTTCATTGACCACGACGTGACTTTAATATGTACGTTACACCTGAACGAAATCCCTACCCATGGGCTTCACGTGGTGGCCACACTGCACCCCAATCTCCCCACCCCAGGGCGTGTGTCCAGTATGCCAGTCCAGGGTCCCCATTGTTGAGGTTAAACGCAAGTGTCAATATTGGTTCAGCAACTTTCACAGGTCTGTGACATGCAGGTTGCTTCCAGAAGAAGTATGCCTGCTGAACTTGTAATTTGTTCTTATCAAGCTAAGTTTGTACATCATCGACCTGCTAACCACTGAAGTTGTCAGGATAGTAGACACTGGACCTAAAGAACATGAACTAACACAGTCGATCATGTAGGGTCCCGGAAGGGGAAACAACGGGACTATTTAATAATGTGAATTATAAACACTAATATGACAGTAGGTTTTCATATGAGACAGTTTAAATTGAACGCCACGATTGTATTATGATTAGTTTGATGCTTCTGGTATTCTTAATTCATATGTATGTCAAGAAATTGAATTTCTGTATTAACATCTTTAGTGCTTTAGGCACTGAACATCCGATCTTTCACAGGCGCGATGACACACAGAACGTCATCCTAAGTAGACATTAATCTCAAAATCATTTTTATACAAGCAAATGTAATGAACTAAATATATCGGTACATGACTTCTTTGACTGGCATTTAGGAGTTGGTGTGATAACCTATCACTTGAGTGATAACTGCAGCTGCACCGAAACTGCAGTTGTTAAAGAAGTTGTATACATATCCATAGTACCCATGTTACCATAGAACCACCACCCCTTGTTCAGTACATGACGTCAGACCGTGAATGGTCAGCATGGTGTATTTACAATATACATTGTAGTTGAGCTGTTCAAGTGTTTAATATCAGAAATGGAATGGTCAAGCACTGTCCGAATATGTAGCCTGCACACAACTGGCGTATAGATGCTGAATATATCGATGTCGAGCTTCCGTTTTATTTGCGCTTTGCATTCTTCGTGTGTTTAATGTATCCTGTTGTAAACATACGTATGTTGTTGATATGTTTACTGATGTCTTACCGGCACAATGTGTGTTTGTGTTTTTACGTAGTGTTACATGTCTATGTATTCTTGGCCCTTGAAACACTTTCCACACTAAATGTGATCAAACAAAACATGGGCTACAAGGAGTGTATGTTTGTTGTCTACCTCTTCACTTCATTGTTCACCTTACTGTGTCGGTGCATCTGATGTTTCACACGGTTACTAACATTTAATCAACAGCGGGTAAGAATTAGTTTTTAGACACCTACCAATGATCAAAATGAGATTATCAGGTGTACTTACAAGTGGTCAGATATTTACTGCTTTCTGTTTGTCTAGTCTCCTAATTTACCGGAGAAGTAGCTTTATTAAAAAAGACAATTTCTGGAACTGGCTTAATGGAAAATAGTCCAGACCCCGAAACAAATATACCCACTACAGCCCATACAGTGTGCATGGCAAGTCTAGATTACCACAGTTTCGGAAACTGAAGAAAGTCTTTCGGTTCCTTTTAAATATACGAGTAGTTTATGAACATGATTTAAGAACCATTTTGTGTCAAATATGTTCATTTCAGAGACTAGCCGTTAGTCTACCCTGAAGCACATACCTCCCTTCACATCCATCGGGTCGGATGATAAGGTACTTAAAATGGCGCTACTTTAATCACACTTAATCAATGTCAAATCGAATTATGTCCACACTGACTTATGGATGAAATCGATTGTGAATGTTATTATAATGTGTTTTGATGCAACACTCTTCATTCATTAACCATTTTTGTTATGACAAGTGCGGTGATTTATATGCCAATTGCCTTTTATTCCTACAAGGGGCGGTGGGGTAGCCTAGTGGTTAAAGCGTTGGCTCGTCACGCCGAAGAGCCGGGTTCGATTCCCCACATGGGCATAATGTGTTAAACCCATTTCTGGTGTCCCCCGCCGTGATATTGCTGAAATGTTGCTAAAAGAGGCGTAAAACTAAACTCAGTCAGTCAGTTATTCCTACAAAACAGCCCGTAAAGATCCGGGTTAGAATTGGTCTTCAGAAACCCATGCTTGTCGTAAGAGGCGACTAACGGGATCGGGCGATCAGGCTCGCTGACTTGGTTGACGCATGTCATCGGATCCCAATTACGTAGATCCATGCTCATGATGTTGATCACTGGATTGTCTGGTCCAGATTCGAATATTTACAGACCGCCGCCATATAGATGGAATATTGCCTGATCATAATCACTGCGACTCTGGTATCCAAACCCATTGCAAGCAAATCTTCGGACGCAACGCTGCACGGTAAGACACGACAACCACGGGGCCAGTGAGACACGACAACCACGGAGCCAGTGAGACACGACAACCACGGAGCCAGTGGGACACGACAACCACGGAGCCAGTGAGACACGACAACCACGGAGCCAGTGGGACACGACAACCACGGAGCCAGTGGGACACGACAACCACGGAGCCAGTGAGACACGACAACCACGGGGCCAGTGGACACGACAACCACGGGGCCAGTGGGACGCAACCACGGGGCCAGTGAGACACGACAACCACGGGGCCAGTGGGACACGACCTCGTGTAGAAATTGTGTTGGCCGGACACAATGTGAAGAGTTCAGTTCCGGCTTGAGTGCCCTTTAATGTTGCCGGCGGCCAGGTGCTCCACCTTTCACAACAATCACTGAAGGAACTTCATTAGGTTCAAGTCAATATTCTTGTCGCTGTTATACCTCCTGTAATTCCCAGCATGCGATGAGAGTAAACAGGTTATGTTTTGTTTTACAGCAAACACCTGTGGTGAAAGGCATGTAGAAGCTGGACGAACATGAATGGAGGAGCAAGAATCAGCTCTGAAACGTCGTGATAAAGAATAAAAAGAAGTTGCTATCCTTGTAAGCAAACAACTGCATAAGAGATACATACATATTTGTAATTTGTACATTAAACATAATATATTTCATATGTATATATACCTTTATATTTCATCTAAACATCTATGATACACTGCATAATAATGGTACTTTTCGCAAGATGGCTGCTTTATTATTGTCAAAAGGTGGATGTAATTTGTTCATAATTTAATTTTTATATCTGACGGAATATGTGATTTTGATCTGTCCAGTACCCACTTCCACTGGTAAAATAAAGTTGTATTTACAAACGAAGAAATCTTATTAGCATATAGATAATTTGATAATTCATGCGATAAACCTACTCAGCAATTTTAGTATTTGCGAACAGATGTATATATGTTTTAATATATATATATATTTGATAGATTTACGAACAAGACAGGTTACACGTTTGTTCCTCTCTACCATGTATGCGTCTCAAGCCGACGGTTCAAACAGGTGAATGTGCACAACGTCACTGTCAATTACTTTGCAACTGATTACAAATTGAGGGTTTAACGTTTCCCCTTTATTCTTTACAGGCTACGCAAAGTATGTACATCACACCCTGTATCCTAATCCCTACCCAGGGGCTTCAGGTGACGTACTAGCTGAATCCAGTTTCTCCCCAGGGCCTGTGTTCCATGTCCAGTCGGAGTAAATACCTAGGTCAATATTGATTCAGACCCATATGTCTGCTCCATGACATGCTACCTGTTTTTGAGAAAGGTTTTCAACTTGTAGTAATTGGAGTAGGTTGAATAATGTGTATATAATTATGGTAAGTAACTACAGAAATACAAGTATGTATATGTTTATGTTGGTCACAAGATCGGCAGTCATACATACTGCAGTTCACACAAAGCACGTCACATCATGTGTGTACACTGATGGTTACACGCTGGGCAACAATAGCTACTACATGTCATGTAAATGTCCCAAATAATCCTAAAACAAATCCTAGCTATTTCATTATCTTGTTTATGAGGAGGAAAGGTTAGTTTCGTCACTATCA